TATATTTAAAAAAAATGTTGTATTAATAATAGAAATAGTATTATGATAATTACCAATATATAAAAAATACTAGATCAATCTCGAGTTTAAAATTTTAATTTATTGTATCTTAGTTTTTTTAAATATTTTTTATGTTAAATGCACTATTAAAATTTAGGTATAAATGAAAATGAAAATGTAAATTTAAATTTACTCTAGAAAAAAAACTAAATAATTATCACAGTATTTTTTAAACTATAAATTAATTTAAATATAAAATAAAATTTTAATAAAATAAAATGAATTTAAATTTGTTGTTGTTGTAATGAACACTAATAACATTTTTATATTCGTAATAAAAGTTTATCAACAAAAAAAACTTAAAAAGTAACTTAGAAACTGATACTTCTTTTATAATATAAAATGTCCTTGTATAAGATCAAGAAATAAAATGAAGAAAACATACAGTTAAAAAAATAATTTTAACTCTTTATCTATGTATTTATTTATTTATTAATATTTATAATTTTATTTATTAATGTTTATAAATATTAATAATGCATTCTATACTAATTTCATACTAATTTGAAGAACAAATATTTATTTAATAACCAAATTTAAAATTATTTTAGATTAAAAATGGCAACACAAAGTTTAAGTACAGAATTAAGTAAAATTAATTTAAAATTTAATAAAATCAACAAATAAAAATATATATAAATTTATATACAACATAATAAATAACTCTGCAACTTTAATTTTTTTTTGTAATTAGAAACCACTTATTAAAATTAGTTAAAATAAAAGAAAAATAAAGATTTTATAATTATATAATATAAAACATAGATTTTTTAATTAGTGTAATAAAAATAAAAAAAATAGTAAGATTAAGTATAATTGTGAATATGTAACACGATTTTTATTTTACTTCAATTTTAATTAATTTCCCGCTCCATAGAGGCGCCACCAAGGGTAGCACGTAAATTCACCTCTAGGTTCAAATTCTAGATAAAATTTATATTTAAATATTATATATAATACAGAAAAGATAAACCTGATTAATTTGAATAAATGAAGTGAAAACAATATATACGCGTATCAAAAATATTTTCAACTAAATTAGAAATATATAGGGAAATAATTTGTGAATTTGGGCACAGTAGAGCTATCTGTTGTGTTCAAAAATCACTAAAACAGGGTAAAGCAGATTTATTTTAGAGTAAACTTATATGATAACAAAAAAAATTCGAAAAGTTCTATTACTCACACCTAAAAGTAAGTAATCGTGAATAAATACAGTTTTTGTTAGATTAGCATTAGTTCAATTTTAATTGTTTCCCCGCTCCATAGAGGCGCTACTATCCGTAGCACGTAAATTCACCACTAGGTTCAAATTCTAGATAAGATTTATATATAAATATATAATATAGAAAAGATAAACCAGATTAATTTGGATATATGAAATAAAAACAATATATACGAGTATCCAAAATATTTTCAAATAAATTCGAAATATAGAGGGGAAAAATAATGAATTTGAGCACAGTAGAATCATCTGTTGGGTTAAAAAAACACTAAAACAGGGTAAAGCACATTTGTTATATGGTAAACTCATATGATAACAAACAAATTTTCAAAAATATCTATTATTTACACCTACAAGTGAGTAATCGTAAATAAATACAGTTTTTGTTAGATTAGCATTAGTTCAATTTTAATTGTTTTCCGGCTCCATAGAATGCGCTACTAAGCGTAGCACGTGAATGCACCTCTAGGTTCAAGTTCTAGATACAATTTATATATAAATATATAATATAGAAAAGATAAACCAGATTATTTGAATAAATAAAATAAAAACAAAATATACGAGTATCAAAAAAAAAATTCAACTAAATCAAGAATATATAGGAAAAAAAATTGAAGAATTAGGGCACAGTAGAAAAAACTGTTGAGTTCAAAAAAACACTGAGACAAGGTAAAGCACATTTGTTATAAGGTAAACTCATATGATAACAAAAAAATTTTTAAAAATTTCTATTACACCTACAAGTAAGTTATAGTAAAATAAATTCAGTAACTCCTTTATCGTATCGATTTCAATGACCACCAACATCTGTCTCGAATTAACAAAAGTGTTTACTGATAACAAACACAAAAAAAAATTCCTTTACATCTATATAATACGATCTTTTACTTTTCTTCGCCGATTATTTTATTATTTCACACACACGAATGATCACACACGTTTTGCTTCGAAGAAGAAACCCATCGAAGAAGTTTTATTTATTCAGTCCGGTGCGAACCGTCGAACCGTGCGGTCGTATGAAAAATATTCGAAAAAAATATTAAAAACGGTTTAAATCGGTTGTTTTGGAAAGGGGATTTATGCAGGAGGTCTGGTGGTTAGAGCACATATGGGTAAGGTGAAAAAAATTGATTCCTTTAGGCTTAATTTGATGTTTTCTGAACCGGTTTGATTTTTTGGTACTCTCCTATGTCTTAATTCTCATAATTAGTTCTCTCTTATTTGATAGTAATGGAAATTAGTATTATTTGTCAATTTATTTATGTTTTAGTTATTTACTTTGTATTGTATGTCATTTTTTAATTTAGCACATTTTATTATGAATATAAAAATAACCTAAAGATGGATGTATTAATTTTATTCAGAACTTTAGTATGAAGAGTTAAATCGTGCGGTCGAATGGAAAAATATTTTTTTTAATTATAAAAAACGGTATAAATTGGTAGTTTTTAGACAGGAATTATTAGAGAAGGTTTAGTGGTTAGAGTACACATGGGTAAGATGGAAAGTTTTTAATTTGGTTTAAGTAAAATTAGATTTTTAGACTTGTACTGATATGTAAAGTTGAAGCGTGCGGTTGAATGGCAAAATATTTGGCGGTTATAGTAAACATCATTAAGATAAAAAAATAATTTCTCTAGACTTAATTTAATATTTTTGGAGCCGGTTTGATTTGTTTTGTACTTTCCTTTGTCTCTATTAAATTAGTTTTCTTTTAAATGATAGTAATTGAAATTTGTATTATTGTGTCCATTTTTTAATATTTTTTAGTTATATATTGATATTGATATTGATTTTGTTCTGAACTCTAGTACAGAAATCTAGTAAAAGTCAAATTGTGCGTCAAATGGGAAAATAATTTTTAAAAATATAAAAAATAGTATATATTGTTTGTTATTGGACGGGATTTATTGATAAAGGGCTGGGGGTTAGAGTACACATGGGTAAGACAGAAAGTTTTCAATTTGGCTTAAGTAAAATAATATTTTTAGACACGTATTGTTTATTGATTGGTATGAAAAGCATGAGCGTGCGGTTGAATGGGATTTTTTTTTTTTAAATATAAAAATTAGTATAAATTGGTAGTTTTTGGTCATGAAATTTTAAAGAAGGTTTGGTGGTTAGAACACACATGGGTAGGATGGAATTTTTTTAATTTGTTTTAAGTAAACTGTCATTATTAGATCTGTATTGTTAGGATATGAAAAGTAGAACCATGATATTGATGATAAATTAAGTTTTTTTCTAAAAAAAAATTATAAAAGAGTCTGTTGATTGTAGCACAAATGGTACAATTTAAAAAATTATATTTATTTTTGGTATTTTTCAATGTTTTTGGAGTCTTTTTGATGGTTTTATGTTGCTCTCTGTCTCTCTGTAATAAATTAGTTATAAATTATAAAAATAACAATAATTTAAATCAGTATCATTTGTTAATATTTTGACCTGTTATTCAATTGTTTAATTATATTGCATATTGTTCAACATATTTTATTATCAATATATAAATTAATTAAATTTAGTATACAGAATTTGTTCTTCACTTGTACGAAAAGTAGAATCCTGCTTTTCAATGAGAAATTATATCAAAAAAATTAGAATTTTAGTATAAAATTCAGTTTTTTAAAAGAAATTAATGTATTTTATTTTACCTTCTCAATAATCCATTCTTATCTAATGATAAAAGATAATTCTTAAAAATTGTCTATGTTTTTTATTAACATTTGTCTCTCTGTTGTAAATTTATATGCGTAAAACAGCAATTTAATTTCAATTCTTGCTTTTCCATAGATTATTATATTATTTTGTTATAATCTTAAAAATTACCATGATTTATTATTTTCATGAAAAATATGACCCAAAATAAAAATGAAGAGATTTTTTTTAACTAATATGGGTCATGCGATTGACTGTAAAAATATTTTAAAAAATCATGAATAATATAATTTTTTTTCAATACTGAATAGTTATAAATTAAAAAACATCGGGGTAAATTGAAAAATTATTAGAAAAAATTAATAAATTAAAGATTTTTCAACGCAAAATTGTTAAAAAATTCGAATTAAGTTATGCTTGTAATTTTCTTTTTTATTGATTAAATTAAATTATTATTACATTAAATAAAATAAAAATATAAAAAATAAGCATGAAAGAAAATTACAGATTTCTTAACACATAAAGTTTGGTTGAGTAACATTTGCTATTTTTCACTTTATTTGTGAGATTTATTAGAACTTTTGATCTAAACTAGTATAAAATTTAAAAGAGCTCTTCAATAGCAAAAATTAAGTTATAGATCTTACTACTTAATTTTACATGGATAAAATAGTAGGTATTCAATTTCGTGTAGGTATTTGTATTATTTTAAATTACATTTTTATTAGATATTTAAATTTGTAGATATTACCAATGTCAGAAGCAAATTTATATAACAATCAAAGAATAAAATATAACTGTATAATATAATAAAATAATTTCTAACAAGACAAAAATTGACGACTTTAGTAATTAATTTTTAATTTGACACTTACAACTAATTTCTATTAATCTATAACCCTTTTGAACATTTTGTACACATCAAATGCTATACTAGTTTCCAAACAAAGATTTCCACACCGACACTATGCAGAATGTCTGTGAAAACTTCAATTTTGTATTGAAACAAGTATAGTATACTAATTTCCCTAACGAGATTTCATCACACGTACCATGTGAAATGTCTGAAGAAATGAAGTATTTGTATGGAATTTGGTATAGTTCACACTTTTTAGAGCCAAGTGGGAAAAAGACAAATATGAATAAATTGCAATTGTTATTGATTAAATTGATTATTAGTATGATACATGCTTCTTACAACTAGTTTTTTTATTTTTTTTTTTAGAACGAGAAATGAACAAAACGCTTCCAAATGCCCGAAGTTGCATCTCGTCTTCAGATCAGCACTTTTTCCAAATCAGCAGTGAAGAAATCAGCAAAAATTGTCCAAATTTTACTGAAATCATCTATCCTATAACATGGCTCTATATTTTAGGAGCAACTACTACATTTACAGCACTTTTGTATTTGATATACAAAATCTTGAAACCAATCAATTGGAGAAAGGTAATTACAACAAATCAATTCTCATTATTTTAATTAGCTGTGGGAAAATTAACATTTGGCACCGAAATCTAAGTCATAATTTATGTATTAATATTTTATTTATTCTGTTTATTTTTAGGATTTGACTGCGATCGGTTATGACCATTTGCGTGGAGGTTTATACAAGGTTAAATATGCAAGAAGGGCGAGGAAAGTTGGAGAAACGCTGCCTCCGCCGTTTCCCAATGGGTGGTTCGGGATTTTGGAGTCCAAAGAGTTGAAAGCTGGGGAAGTCAAAAGTGTCAATTGTTTGGGTAAGTTGAGGATTAATCAAATTTTTTGGCATCAAGAAGTTTTTATAAAATCAACTAGAAATCAGTAAGACTATTTTTTTATCGGAAAGTCGGCGAAAAGATTATTGAAATCATCCTAAATGTATAAAAATGCTTAAAAAAATTTGCTTAAAAACTTGCTTGAAAATTTCTTTGCTCAAAGTATTAAAATTTAAATCTTCAAATTTTTAAAGGCATTATGGTTTCTTAACTTAAATATTTAAAGACCTTGACAATCTTCGAGGTTTTAACTATTATTTATCAAGGATTTTAATTTTCATTTTTTCATTTTTATTTGTAATTTTAATTTATAAAACTCTTTATAAATTGTTAAAGATCTATGAAGGCATTTCTAGTTTTTAAAATTTCTTACAAAACATATGTATTTATAGATTTTTACAAATCTTTCAGAAATTGTCCTTTCTTTGATAAAATTGATTAAATTTTAAGAGTCTTTAAAGTATTTAAATCACGCACAAATCTTAGAATATCATCATAGCTTTCTATATGTTTTTTCAACTATTTATATATTTTAACAAACATATAGAGATTTTTTTAAATATTTAAATTTTTTGCAAATATTATTGATATTTCCTAAAAATCTTCAAAAATCTTTACAGATCTTATTAAATCTTTAAATATCTGCACAAATTTTTAAATATCTTAAATAATCTCTAAAAGTTTGCCCAAATCACTAAAGATATTTACAAATCTTAAAATATTTTCAGTAAGGATCAAAAAGCTTCACAAAGCTCTGAAGATATTTGCAAACCTCTAAAGATCTTCACAAATTTCTAAAGATCTTTACAAATCTCTATAGGTCTTTACATGAATCTAAAGATATTTACAGATCTTTAAATTTTTTAAGAAAGCATAAAAAAACTTTACAAATATGTGAAGTTATTCAAAAACGTCTGAAAATTTTCATAAATTTCTAAAGATTTTCATTAATCTTTAAAGATCTTCACAAATCATTGAAAATATTTACAATTAAGCAAATTCTTAAAGGTTTAACGCAAATCTTGAAATAATTTCACAAAGTTTGAAAAAATTTATTGAAGTTGTTTTCAGATACCTTCTAACATCTTAAAAGATTTTCACAAATTTTTACATATTTAAATAATTATTTAAAAATCATCACAAATCTTTAAAAAATTTAAAAAAAGTTTCACAGAACTTTACAAATTTTAAAATAAATCAAACATATGTAAAGATCACTATACAGATTTTTACTCAATTTCATAAATATTGAAATCTTTTCACACATATTAGCAAATATCTTAAAAAACTTCACATAAATTTTAGAATCTTTAAAATTTTTAAATCATAAACGATTTCAACTCATCTCTAAAGATCTTAACAAACGTCTGAAAATCTTCACAAATTTCTAAAGACCTTCTCAAAAAATTAAAGATTGTTACAAATTTTTAAATGAAGTTTCAAAAAGCTTCACAAAACTTTGTACATATTCACAAATATGAAGATCTTCACAAATCTTCAACGATCTTCAAAAATCTTCAACGATCTTCACAAATCTTAAAAGATCTTGACAAATTTTATAACTTTGCTTAGGAGTACTTCAAATATATTTACAAGTCCTAAAATAGTATTATGAATCATCAAATATTATCACAAATCTTTGATTATCTTGACTGATTTTAAGCAATTTTACAAATCTTTAACTTTCTCCACAAATTTTTGAATATCTTCACAAAAATTGTAATATTTTTATAAATTACAAAACTTTACATAACTTTCTTAACAAATCTTCAAGCTTCAAATATATTCATAAATTGTTTAAAGATCTTCACAAATCTTTATAAAAAATGGTATTACGTATTCTCAAATATTTTTCAACCAATTTTATATACTTTTATAAGTATTTTAAAATCTTTACAAACCTTCAAAGATTTTTATTATTCTTCGAGGATCTACATAGATGTTAAAGTAGCTTAGATTTCTTTACACATCTTTAGAAAATTTTATGAATATTTAGAATTCTTTATAGATGCTTAAAAATTTTGGAAAATATTTACAATAATTTTAGGATTGAGTGATTTTTTTAAGTTATCATAGAATGTTAATAAAATTTTGAAATATATTTACAATAATTTTAGGATTGAATGATTTTTTTAAATTATCACAGAATGTTAATAAATCTTGAACAGTTTCTTAATATTTAAAAAAAAATGAAATCCAAATATTCAGATACCGAACTTTCTTTAATCTTTTATAATTTTTACACACCTTTGAAAATTAAAAAAAAATCGAAAAAAATATTTTAAAAAGTCTAACTTTCAACTAATTATTTTTTTAGGTCAGAATTTCGCAGTAATGCGTACGGCCAAGGGCGAGGCCGCCGTTTTGGACGCCTATTGTCCCCATTTGGGCGCCAACATGGCAATTGGCGGCGTAGTCCGCGACAATTGCCTCGAATGCCCTTTTCATCAATGGAGATTCAGCAGCGAGACCGGACAATGCTCCGGGGTCCCTTACAGTGTCAAGGGAACAGGTAATAATAAATAGTAAACTAGTGGTGTATGGCATCGTGCCTTAAGGCAAATTGCTAGAACTTCCCGTATCGTAATGAAATATTCGAGGAATATTAAACATTTTCAAATATATTATTACAAATACTGTAACTTTCATTATTTTTGCTATCTTGTTATATCTGAGCAAATCAAATGTAAATCATAATTCAATTTATCTCTATTAACAATCGTCATTTCATTTCGAATTCAATTTCAAAAAAATAGTTGCCAAATTTACACAAAATAGAAAAAGTGCATTTGCAAATAATTCTGTGCGACACTTTCACTTATACTGTGCTTAGCTTGGCGGCATGTTCACATTTTTCAATAGTTTTCACAAAATTGGAAAAGTGCTTCCGTAGTCACAGTCTAATCGCATTTGCAAATAATTCTGTGCGACACTTTCACTTAGACTGTGCTTAGCTTGGCGGCATTTTAACATTTTTCAATAGTATGTTTTCACATAATTGAAAAAGCGCTCCCGTATAGTCACAGTCTAAACGCACTTGCAAACAATTCTGTGCGAAATTTTGACTTATACTCTGCTTAGCTTGGCGGCATTTTCACATTTTTCAATAGTTTTTACAAAATGGAAAAGTGCTCCAGTACATAAACAGTCTAAACGCTCTCGGGTAAACATTTGTACCAGAGTGGCGCTTAGACTGTGCTTAGCCTGGATAATTTTTTGAATTTTTAATCCAAAATCACAAAAATATTTTCTGAAAAAAATAAATATTTCAATTGTGGGAATCAAGTGAGCCATAAATTGGAGAGAAACAAAGGTCATAACATTTTGTAAAGTTTTATCATAAATTTAAATTTAAACCAAATTTTAATATATTTTTATATACAAGGAAATATCTTTTTATAAATTTATTTATTTCCCTACAATATTAAAACATAGACCATATTGTTATTAATATAAACTATTTTTAGCATCTGCTAAACTACTTTCAAGTATTAAAAATTTTTGTTATCACCTGAAAATTCCACTTGCAGCTTATATTTTCTGGGCGTTTCAAGTCATTCTTAATCGTTTAAGATCAAATGTGGAAAAAATATGCTTTTGTATGTACATAACTAACCTCCAAAACGCACAAATAACGATTTTAACATAAGTGCAACTCTAATCACAGTTAAATATTGTTAAGTTTGTGCATTTTGGAGGTTAGGTTTTATGTGTAAAACGTCATTATCATAACATTTCTATTTTATTTAGAGAATTGGCTACTAATTAAAAAATTAGTAAATGATTATCTTATTAATGTCATATACTTCCCGTGGGGCAAGTTATAGTAATCGCAAAAAATTGAAAATGAAAACTTTTATATATCTTTACGTTTTAAAGATTTCTGAACATTCTGGCATTCCTTCGAAAAAATGGATACATGTGTGTGCGGGTACAAACTTAAATATTTTATTTTATATGAAAAATAAAAAAGATGTAATAATTTTTTAATCTCAAAAGCAATTGTTTTCACAATACAAGCGGAAAGTTTTGTTTAGATCATTCAAATCGGACGCTCAGTTCACTCAAAAACTGCCATTTTTTGCGCATTTAGCGCTGTATCTCCGAAACTGCTAGATCTGACTTTGCCAAAAACTAATAACCACTTCTCCCAATCATTACAAAGTGAATGTTTTATGGATCATTCAAATCCGATACTCTGTTCTCTCAAAAACTCGATTTGTATTTTCTGCACTCTTTGCTCCGTATCTCCGTAACGGCTGGATCTACGTTTACCAAAAACTAATCAGCACGTCTTCCTATTAATAGGAATCGAATGTTTTCTAAACCATTCAAATCGGTCGATCCGTGCGCCTGAAAACGTAGACAAAATAAGGCGGACATACAAAACACACACACATCCATTTTTTCTGAGGTATGCCTAAATGTTCAGAAACCTCTGAAACGTGAAGGTATGCAATAAATTTCATTTTTGCATTGTGGACGATTACAATGACTTACTAAGGAAATTTAATAAAAATAATTGTATAGTTGTAATTGTTCTTTGGTCAGAACAGATCTTGATCTTGATCTTGGTCTTGGTTTAGTTCTGGGTTTTGGTCTTGTTGAAATACTTGGTTTTTGTCTTGGTTTTGGTCTTGGCTGATCTTGATGTTGGTTTTGGTCTCGGACTTGGTCTTGAGGTTGATATTGCTCTTATCGTTGATGTTGGTCTATATGTTGTTTTTGTTATTTTTTGTTCTTGTTGTTCTGGTTCTTGTTTTTATTCTGGTTGTTCTTGTTCTTGCTTTTGTTTTTTTTGTTCTTGCCTTTGCTCTTGGTCTTTTTGATCATGCTCTTGTTTTTCTTGAACATGCTTTTGCCTTTTTTGTTACGGCTTTTGCTCTGCTTGTTCTTTTTGTCCTTGCCTTTGCTCTTGGTCTTTTTGAACTTGCTCTTGCTTTTTTAGTTCTTGCTTTTGCTCTTCTTGTTTTTGTCTATCTTCTTTCTCTTCTACTTATTATTTATATTTTTATTATTTTTTTCTAGTGCCAAAAGCTTCAGTAAAAAAATGGGAATGTCGCGAAGTCAACGGAAGTATTTTCGTGTGGCACCACGTTGACCCGGAAATAACTCCGTGGGAAATTCCATCAGTTCCGGAGGTGGAATCCGGAAGATGGATGTACCGCGGAAGGAACGAGTTTTATATCAATTGTCACATACAGGTAAATATAGGATAAAAATGATATTTTTATCCTAAGTCTAATTTTTAACCCTTTCGACTCGGATGCCGTCGCTCCGGCGACAAAATTCATATAAACCTCGCAATGCGCGATTAGAGGGTGTTAAAGTTTTGAATAACTTCAAATCAGAAATTAATGATATGATCCTTACACAATATGAAAAACGCTTTTTGAACCAAGCATTTTTTTATTAAGAGATAAGTAAAAATTAAAATTATTAACCGGTTTAATTAAAGTAATCAGAAAAAATTTGACTCACCTGATCTGTGTACAATCTCAAAAACATTTGCTCTATCGTATGATCTTTCTCAAAAAGTTTAAGATAACAATAATTTTTAAATCTTTTCTAAAAATTCTAAAAATCAGTATGTCCTATTATTCTTGTACACTTGTATATGTACTAAATTTTGGTATCAAACGATTCAGAATGATTTGAAAAACTTAGCTAGAACATCAACCTCTCTTTTCAAAAATACTACCTACATAGTTTAGTTACAAGTAAACTTACATATTTTGCCTGAAATGATACCACCATGTATGTACTTTAATGGTTCATACAGCAAAGATATATATATATATATATATATATATATATATATATATGAATATATATATATATATATATATATATATATATATATTGAGAAAAAAAATAAAATTTAATTCGTTAAATTTTCTGTGATAGTTCTTACCCTTTACATTTAATAAATAACGTGATAAATAGCAGGTTAAATTTTCTAAAAAATAAATTTTTCACTTTACAGTCTGATAATTCTATTTTTGATGATTTTTCAAAAAATTCTTTTTTGACTAATTCAGATCCGTCTTTTACAAATAAATACAAAGGTATTTTTTTATTGCCATATTTAGGTAGTTTTTCACATTATCTAAAAAAACTGTTTTTAAATGAAGGTTTTCTGTTAGTTTTTTCTTTTAAAAATACTTTAAACTCACTTTTCACTCTCTGAAGATCTAAAACTCCAGTTGAGCGTGTTACTGATGTTATTCATAAAGTTGACTGTAATGATTGTAATTGTTCTTATATTGGTGGGAGTTTGCAATATATTTACAAGAGAATGAACCAACATATTTACAACTCAAGAAATAAGAATCAGTTTAAGACAACGTTTTCTGAACATGTGATTAGTTTAAAGTTAAAACCATACTTTCAATACAAAAAACCCTTTTATTTTACATAAAGAAAAGAATTTTTTCCTGGTGTGGTATTTATATTTTTTAATTATTTTAAATTAAAATTAAGTTTTTTTTTAAAAAAAATCTTTGTAAATATTTTTTAGATACTGTTAACAAAGAACTGCTGAATGATGACACACAATCCGTGTCGAAACGTATATTTTAAATAAATATTTTGTATTTATTTGTTTCTTTTATTTTGACTGGCTGAAAATCATATCAAGACATGTCTCAACGTCGAACATAAAAAAAACTAATTATATATATATATATATATATATATATATATATATTTATATATATATATATATTTATATAAATATATATTATTTATATATATATATATATGCATATACATCTAATTATCTATCTATTACAATTTTAGGAGATTCCAGAAAACGGTGCAGACATAGCCCACTTAAACAGTGTTCACGGCCAAAATCTATTCGCGTCAAATAGCCAAACTTCCTCCTCAAACTTTTCCCTAATATCAGAAATTTTAAGCAACTTTATCCACACTTGGAATGCTGTTTGGGAACCTCGTGAAGACGAAGACAAAACCCACAGGGCTGTCATGAACCTTCAACACGCCTTGGGAATCAAAGGGTCCAAATTTAGGATGTTCCAGATGGACGTGAGGGCTGAACAGGTAATAGAAATAATAATAATAATAACTAGTGGTGTATGGCATCGTGCCTTAAGGCAAATTGCTAGAACTTCCCGTACCGTAATGAAATGATCGAGAAATTTTAAACGTTTTCAAATATATTATCGCAAATACTGTAACTTTCATTATTTTTGCTCTCTTGTTTGTTATATCTGAGCAAATCAAATGTAAATCATAAATCAATTTATCTCCAGAACATTAATAATCGTCATTTCATTTCGAATTCAATTTCCAAAAAATAGTTGCCAAAATTGCACAAAATTGAAAAAGTGCTTCCGTACAGTCACAGTCTAAACGCATTTGCAAGCGACATTTTCACTTATACTGTGCTTAGCTCGGCGGCAATTTCACATTTTTCAAAAGTTTTCACAAAATTGGTAAAGTGCTTCAGTACATAAACAGTCTAAACGCACTTGGGTAAACATTTGTACCAGGGTGGCGTTTAGACTGTGCTTAGCCTGGGTAATTTTTTGAATTTTTAACTTCTCGTAGGGTAAGTTATAGTAATCGCAAAAAAATCGAAAATGAAAATTTTTATATATCTTTACGTTTCAGAGGTTTCTGAATATTTTGGCATACCTTAAAAAAATGGATGTATGTGTGTGTGTGTGTGTGTATGTGTGTGTGTGCGTGTATGTACGTGTGTGCCGATACAAATTTTTGTCGACGATTTCGGAAACACGGATGAAGCAATTTGAATAATTCAAAAAACATTCGATTCGTATTGATAAGGAGACGTGCTGATTAGTTTTTGGCAAAGGCAGGTCTAGCCGCTCCTAAGATATGGGGCAAAAAGTGCCAAAAACGGTAACTCAGTTTTTAAGAGAACGGAGCGTTCAATTTTAATAATTCAAAAAACATTTTACTTGTATTGACAAGATGAAAAACTGATCAAATTTTCATAAGCGCAGTTCTATCCGTTTCGGAGATCTAACGAAAAAAGTAAAAAAAAATGCCATTTGGCGGTCAAAAATGATCATTGGACTTATGCACACCAAATTATCAGATATTTTATAGAAATTTCTATAATAAGTATGAATTTTGTTTACATTCTTATGGGTTCCGTACCAATGCTTATCCGTTAGACAGCGACGCGGCGCTTACGCGCTTTATATTTTGTCTCTATGCAGTTAAAGCAGTACGATTGCTTTGAAAAAAGTTCAGATTTTCCAAAATATGTCAAAATAAGTAAGTGTTAAGTAAGTACGTAATAAGTAATAATTTTTGGTACGGGAAGTTCCAGCAATTTGCCTTAAGGCACGATACTTTAATAGCTTTAAGACAAAATTCCACTTACAGCTAGTTTCATTCCAAAATTACAAAAAAAATTTATGGAAAATAGAAAAAGATGCAATAATTTTTTATCCTCAAAAGCAATTGTTTTGTCACGGGAAGTTAATAATAAGAATTTTCATACTATTGACAAAAGCCATGCTGTTGCTGTGCAGTCAGGCGTATTTCTCAGGTTGTCATATAGAAAATTGAACCAAGAAACCGCACAAATGTCAAAAAAACTATCTCAGATAACATGGTCTTTCTGAGTCAGCTTCATAACATACGACTAACGTTGCAGTTTGCGTTAAAACGCCTGAATGCACAAGCAAACACATGACATTTCGACAGTATTCAGTATGATTTAGTAGCATAATGCATGCAAGTTGGAGCGTAACATGGCCTTGCCATAACATTTGTCTGTTTCTGAGTTGTTAATGACTCGATTGGTGTTTTTTTTTGCAGATTGGTCCAGGATATGTTCAACTAAATATAAGTACATCAATTGGACGAATGGTGATTTTGCAAACCGTAACTCCTGTGGAACCTTTGGTGCAAAAAGTGGTGCACAGGATATATTGTCCTTGGTACCTAATTCCTTATGCTTCGTTTGTAATGCTCGGAGAATGCATAATGGTAAAAAAATATATATAATATATATATATATATATATATATATATATATATAAATCTCGTGTCACGATGTTGGTTCGCGATGGACGCCCAAACTACTGAACCGATTTTAAATTTTATTGGCTCATCGTGTGCATATATATCCAACTTAGGTTATAGGACATTTTGAAAAGTAAATTTAAAATATAAATATATAATTTTTATAAATTTTTAAAAATTTTGACAAAAAATGACCAAAAAAAACAAAACACTAAAATGACAAATGTCTAAGGAAATTTCGATATATAATTTTTGAAAAAAAAATTTGACATTTCAAAAAATAAAATTCAAAAACATGTACATATATAGAAATTTCCAACATTTAAATCCAAATTTGATGAAATGCTATATTCAAAATCACTGTTTATAGTTTTAAATCTAATTAAAAATCAATGCTTAAAAATTTGAATAAATGTTGACATGTAAAAAAATTAAATGTCATTTGTCAGTATTTATGAAAATAATTATATAAATAGATTTACGATTTAGATTTAATTGATTAGCTTACCAAATTATTTCGGATACCAAAACTTCATCAAAACATTATAGATCAGAGATCACAATAAAAAAGCGGCATATTGAATTTAAAATTAATCATAAACAAAATTTTGACATTTCACAAAAAAATATTTAACGACTTACTTCAATAAGAAGCAAATAAATTAATTATTCCAAGTTATGCTATAGGCAATATTGCCTAAAAAATTATAGATACAAAATATTATTGTAAAATAAATATTATCATATTATATTAATTTTGGACGAAGAAGGAAATATTTTGACATTTATAAATTTAGTGCATATTGGATATATGAAATTGACATTCACTATTTTTCAATTAAATGCAAATGTAAAAAATCAAATATTTATATAAAAACATATATTTTAGACCGTTGATTTAGACTAATATTTAATTCATTCTTTAATTAAAAAAAATGACAAACAAAATTAAAATAAACAAAATTATATCATATTATATTAAATTTTGACCGAAAAGAAAATATTTTGACAATATAATTAATTTGAAATAAAATGCAAATGTCAAAAATCAGATCTTTATGTAAAAAATATTTATTTCCACAATATTCCTGTGTTGATTTAGCCAAACTTATGAATTTAACAATTATATAATTATTCATTGATGACTTAAAATAATTATTAATTTATTAACAAATAAATAATATTTGAAAGAAAATTTATTGACATATATGACATGACAAAAGTATAATAAACAAAAAACTATGATGCGAGTGAATTAATTTTTGAAGTATGAAATGTCAAATAAATTTGAAAATTATAACAAGTTTTTAACTATTTGTCAAAGAACCAGAGTCCAAATCTAATAAATATTTGATTTTTGGCACTTTTATTAATTTTTTATCAATTTAGGCATATTTTTTATGGCAAAACAACGTTTGCCGGGTTAGCTAGTATATATATATATATATATATATATATATATATATATAGGATTATATTCGTGCTTAGGGTGACAAAGCCAACCAAACACAATTGAGTTTCTCTGTTAGAAAAGATATATTTTATTATTAGTTCTACATTAGACAAAGTTTTAAATACAAAACCTTACATACCAGTTAGAAAAGAAACGACATTTAATGTTATTAATCACAATGTCAGTTCCTAAACACATTTGCACTATTATTTACTATTTTAGAGATTATTTTACTTTTACGAAATTTTATTATTTTGTAACATATTTTAAATTATCACTTGTTTTGCTATCCTAATATCATAGGAGCTGTATCTATGACAATCATAACGCGCAAAATTTAAACTAAACTAGCTGTAAGTGGAATTCTGTCTTAAGGCAATTAAGGCATCGTGCCTTAAGGCAAATTGCTGGAACTTCCCGTACCAAAAATTATTATTTTTTTAAAAACAAGTAACATTTTTGAAAAAAATTTACTTCGAAAAAATAAGATTTTTGACAAACAATTAGACAAAAAATTACTTTTTTTTGAAAAAAAAAATTTTTTAAATTTTTTTTTTTTTTAATTTTTTTTTTTTTTGAAAAAAAATGTTTTCTTTATTTTGACATATTTTGAAAGATCTAAACTTTTTTTCAAAGCAATCGTACTGCTTTAACTGCATAAAGACGAAATATCAAACCGCGTAAGCGCCGCGTCAACGTTTAACGCGTAAACATTGGTACGGAACCCATAGGAATGTAAACCAAAATTATACTTATTGTTAAAATCTCTATAAAATATCTGACAATTTGATGTGCATATGTCTAATGATCATTTTTGACCGCCAAATGGCATTTTTTTTTTACTTTTTTCATTAGATCTCCGAAACCGCTAGACCTGCCTTTATGAAAATTTGATCGGTTTTTCACCTTGTTAATACAAGTAAAATGTTTTTTGAATTATTAAAATCGGACGCTCCGTTCTCTTAAAAACTGAGTTACCGTTTTCGGCACTTTTTGCCCCGTATCTTCGGAACGGCTAGACCTGACTTCGCCAAAAACTAATCAGCACGTCTCCTTATCAATACGAATCGAATGTTTTTTGAATTATTCAAATCGGTTGATCGGTGTTCCCGAAATCGTCGACGAAAATTTGTATCCGCACATACATACACACACGCACACACACACACACACACACACACACGCACACACACATACATCCATTTTTTCTAAGGTATGCCAAAATATTCAGAAACCTTTGAAACGTCGAGAAATGCAAAAATTTTCATTTTCGATTTTTTTGCGATTACTATAACTTGCCCTACGGGAAGTTAACAAAATTAGGTATTTTTCTTTACATATATATATTAGGGTGGTCCTTAATATGGACATTTTGGAATTTTCTTGCTTCCAAGGGCTCAAATGCTTCCAAAGTAATAAAAAAATATTGTCTAAAAATTTCCGCTCTTAATATTAACATTTAGATAGTTCGCAATTCAATTAAAAGTTCAGTTAACAATTCAATTAAAAATTAGTACACATCTTAAGATATAACATACAAAAATTTTCTAACTCTAGTATAACGTTTTATATTTTTAAATATTTTTCAAAATACTCATCAAACCGTGGACTTTCAACTATTGCAAGAGTGCATTTTTTACAAAATTGCACATTTATAGCTTTATTTGTTAGAAACATATGTGATTTTATATTTTTATAATTGAGTACATATATTAGGTAATGACATACTAAAATTTCATAGCTCTAGTATAATATTGTATATTTTTAAAACATTTTTCAAAAGTACTTTTCGTATCATATCCAACCGTCGATTCGCAACTAATAAAGATAGAGTATGCAGAGTTTAGTTATTAAGTAAGTTCTTGCGCCATCTGTGATAGCATACTTGTAATTTTTGATGGCAATTTATTACTGATAATATGAGTGTCCAAATCACTAATAAAATAAATATTTTGATGCAAAATTAATTTTGATGTCATGATGAATAAATATTTCGTTAAACAGTCCACATGGATTTAATTAGAGGTTAAGTGTTTTATAAATATTTTCAAGTGAGTTCACAAATGCTATCACAGATGGCGCAAGGATATATGGTAAAAATGAATGTACGAAACTTTTAATTGAATTGTGAACTATCTAAACGTTAATATTAAGAGCTAAAACCTTCAGATATTTTTTTATTACTTTGGAAGCGTTTGAGATCTTGAGAGCAAAAAAAATCAAAAATGTCCATATCAAGGACCACTTTAATATGTACATAATTCATTTATCTATTTATTGTTCTAGTTTGAGCGAGACATAGCAATTTGGAACCATAAAAAGTACATGAACAACCCTCATTTTCTAAGGGAGGAAAAAATCGATAAAAAGGTACCGTACATGGTATCAACAGTTTTACTCGGATCAGAGCAAAACTTTCAGGGAAGCCACTGAAGAGACACTAGATTGGTAATTAATATTAATAATACTTATAATAATAATTTATAAATAATTTGATATAAGACTAGATTTAAGTTTCACATAGGGACCGATTCTGAGGTAAAACAGACAAATGTTATGGCGTTTTAAACATAAACTGCAACGTCACTCGCATGTTATGAAGCTGGGTCAGAAAGACCCCATGGTTTTTTTGACATTTGTGCGGTTTCTAGGTTAGTTTTTCTCTCTGACAACTTAAGAAATACGCCTGACTGCACACCGACCGCATGGCTTTTGACAATATTAAGTATAATTTTTCTTAATAACATGGCCTTGCCATAACATTAGTCTGTTGTGCTGCAAAATCGGTTTCATAGACTAAATACAAATTAGTTAATAATTTTATTTAATAGCCAAGTGCTGAGTGATAAGTGTTGAGCATTTATATGACGTACTTATAAATATTTATAAGAATATTTATTTATAATAATATAGTAGTAATAAGTGGCCCTACACCAATTTATTTTTAAGTGTTCCTTTCTTTGACAATCTGTATATATAAATGAATATGAATCATCTATTCAGAAAATGCAGTCATTTTAAAATTACATCAATTTTATTTCTTTCAGTATATCATAGATGTCGACACTAACCGTAGCACGTAAATTTACCCTTAGGTTCAATTCTCCGATAAGATTTATATAAATGTAAAATATAGAAAAGAAAAACCTGATTAATTTGACTAACAAAATATACGCGTAAGTTATATATTTTCAACAAAATCACAAATATGTTGTAAGAAAAAATGAAATTAAATTTTTAATACGTGTAATATATCTAGAAATATTGTGAATTGAGCTGAATTTGAAGCACACTAGCACCATCTGGGATATGCGAAAACACTCATAAAGAATAAAGCGTATTTGTTCTAAATTTTACACCTTCATGACAATCTTTTTATCGGCTTCAAAAACGTTTCAAGATACAAAATTATGCAAAAAAACGTAAAAGTTTAGATTTAAGATTTTAGACTTTTTTATATAATAGTCGTATGAATACGTGCTTAAATTGATTTAATCAAATTTTTGTCTTTGCTATTTAAAAAACATCTAATAAAAATGGATGTAAAAAATACAATACACTACGAAATTTAGTAATTTTTATTTTAGGTATATTAAACATTTTTAAAGGTTATTTTGACATATTTTTTATCGATTTAACCAATTTTGTCTTTGGTTTTTGATTTAAAAAAAAACAACAGCTGACGAAAATGGAAAAAACGTATTATTTTTTTGGTAAAATACTAATGATTGATTAAGAAATGAGTAAACAATTAGAAATAATAATAAATCAATGATAAAATATATTTGTTGAAAATTAATAAAAATATCGACAGAAATTTAAACAAAAAATAAAAAATATAGATTTTTCATGCATAAGGTTTGTCTATCATCTTCTTACTCTGACTAAATGTTAGATATTATAATAAAAATGAAAATTTTGTTGGGTATTCAATTTTATCCGATTTTCATTAAAATAAGAGTGAGATTATAATTTGTTATGAGCTAATTTTTCTTTCATTTTTAATTTTTGAATATGTTTAAAAAATTATATAAAGTGAAGTAAATCCAAGAATTCGCATATTTTAAATTTAATCTTTTAAATTTAACTTTAAAAAAATTCTATAATATTTAAAAATAATTACAAAATAAATAAAGCAATCAACAAACACAATGGCAATCATGTTAGTAAAATAACATATTATATTTCTCGGTTACTTTAAAAAATCAACTAAATAAATATATTTAAAAAAAATTGAATTAAGTACACATGTTTTAATATAGTCAAATTTTATAAAAAAAAAATCTATAATACTTTTAGACAAAATCTAACAAATAAATTTAACTTTAATACAAAAAACAAGTAAGTATATAGGTAAATCTAAATATTTATTTTTAATCTTAATTTTTGCTTAGTTAAGTTTAAAAATTAATTTAATTTTAAGGAATTACGTCACTAAATAGCATTTAACTATTTAGAAAATAATTTTAAAGATACCATTTGTGATTAGTAACTAGTTAATAAATTAGTTAGTTAGTATAACTATATATTTATTAGTAGGTACTAGTAAAAATCTAATCAAGATGGAATAATACGACCTATATTTAAGTTCCTTAATGTTTATTAAAGTATATAAATATTTTTTCAAAAAATTCAGTAATATTAGGGTAGTCCTTAATATGGACATTTTCAAATTTCTTTGCTCCCAAGGTCTCAAATGCTTCCAAAGTAATAAAAAAAAATTCCTTAAATTTTTTTTTTTAAATTACCTTTAAATGGTAATAATGTACATACGAAACTTTTAATTGATTTGCGGACTATCTAAATGTTAATATTATGAGCTTAAATTTTTAGACAATATTTTTTTATTACTTTGGAAGCATTTTAGAACTTGAAAGCTAAGAAATTCGAAAAAATGTACATATTAAGGACCACCCTAATATATATGTATATATAGATATATACGTGTGTGTATATATAATATTTATTTATAAATAGTTTTTATAAAATGTACATATTCTAGTCTGTACTTTTAACATAAGTTTATTTTATTTAAAAAATACTTAAGGCATTGCTCACGTACAATATATTATATAAGCATTCATAAAATTAATAAAATTAAATTATAAATATAAAAAATAAGGAAAAAATAAAAATTTGAATATAAATATATATATGTGACAATAATTGACACACATCAATTTTTCAGGCATCTGTCAAAAATGACACATAATTTTTAATTTTTCATTCAAAATTTAGTTTTTCTATTTTAGTTTAGTTTAATAGTTCTATAAAATTTTCAGTACTTCAATTTAATTTTTTTTTAATTTTCAGTTTTTCCAAAATGTGAATATTATTTCTATTGAAAATGGAAACGACAGAAATTTTAGAAAAATTACGGAATACGTTTAAGGAGTCCAAATATGTAGGTGAACCTATACAAGGGTATTTTGTACCCGATGGAGACCCTCATCAAGTAATTAAAAAAATATATATAATAAATAAATATTTATTTGAGAAACTCTAAATTTTACACAATGTTTAGTTAATATTTAAATTTAAAAGCTTTAGTAAAAAATTTATAAAGCAAAATAACCTTTTTTTAACTTGAAGAAATGAGTTTTTTTAGGGTTAAAGAACAAATCGCCGAACTTGATTTTATCGGAAATATAATGAAGTTAAATATGAAAATTTTTAAGAATAATTTTTATCAAAGAGTAAAAACTCTTTTATAAAGTATATATAATTGCAAAACCTATTTAACTGTGCGTACATATTTTTTATTACTAAAATACTAATATTTGTAGCTATTTGTTACCTTTTTGCGAGGTAAGTGTAAATGATAAATCCAAAATTGATACAAGTACTTTAATTTTTTTTATTTTAAGACTAATTTATATTCTAATTTCTAATTGATCTGACTTATTTCTAATTGATCTATTTAATTATAATATTATTTGTTGAACTATAAATTTAAAAAAAAAATTTTTTTAGTCTACTTTTTTCGGGGTTGGCGTACAATCTGAAATAATTCCACCCTGGAACAAATTGAGGGACAAAATTTTACGCGTAATAATTATGAACTTTTTATGAAATATTTATAGAAATAGAACGCATTTAATTAGACGTACCTAATTTTTAATATAAAAAAATTAATATATATACATATGTATTATCTTTTTCCAAGGTAAGTCAATGATAAGTCAAAAATTGATATACTTTAATATTTTTATTTTTTTTTAAATTTCAATACTGATTTTTGCATGAATAATAATGTACGTATAGTGTTTATGAATATATATAAAATGTGCACTAACGTAATAAATGCATATTAAATGTGTAATTATATTTTGACTATTATTATTGAGCCCAGCATAATTTTTTCCCTGACTGATATTTAACCTGAAACAACGCATCGTTTGAGGTTGACAAACAAATCGCCGGACTCGATTTTCTGGGAAAACCAAATAAAGCTAAATTTTGTAAAAATAATATAAATTTTATACTAATAATATAAATCTTTATTTATAGCATTTGAATAGTATAAAAATATTATATTATGAATAAAATCAAATCAAATAATTTGATGTAAATACGTGATTATAACATTTGCGAATTTATATGAATTTAACAGTTTCAATTGCTTTTTTTAAAGTATACTCAGTTAGTGTAGAGCTTTATGATCTAAGAAAATGATTTTAATTATTTATTTTTTCACAAATTTGCTAATATTTGATGTAAATGATTTTATACAATTACATAAAATTGTTACAAAAATTTTGTCTCTAGTTTTTTAATAAATTTTAAAGTTTATCGAGTTGCTGTAGGGCATCATGATGTTAGAAAATAATTTTAATTATTTAGTTTTTTATATATTTGCTACATATTTAATTTAAATTAAACAAACCGTATTAAAGTTACTAGAGTTGCATTAAATATATGCGGAAGCAAGTTTTATATCAAGAAACGATTTTCATGAATAGGTGTATTTATAAATCCGTTTTGAAGTACAACGATTTATTGTAAAGCACTAATATCTTAGAAAAACTTTTATATTATTCAATTTTATGCAAATTTTCTGAATATTTCATTCAATTCAGACAAACCATTTTGAAGTTACAAACGATTTAATAAATAGATGTAGAGACGAGTTTCATATCAAGGAGAAAATTGTTTAAGTTTTAATAAGGCGTTTTTATAAATCTATTTTAGAGTAAATCAACTTGCTATAGAGCATTATAATGTTAGAAAATTGTATTCTTTATTTAATGCTATATAAATTTGCTAAATATTTCATTTACATTAGAAAAACAGTTTAAGAGTTACAAACTATTAATTAAATAAATGTAGAGATGAGGTTCATATCAAGGAATTTTTTATTAATTTAATCAGATGTACTTATAAATAAATTTTAAGTGTAATAAGTTTTTATATGGCAAATAAATATCAGCAAATAATATAGACAATTTAATT